GCTGCAGGCTTTGATGTGGGGGCCCAGCCGCCAATGAAGCGTCCAGCTGTGGCGCCACTGAAGAAGAAAACAAAAGCAGAAGCATTGGCCGAGCCACAGGCCCAGAGCCCAAGCCCAGGCAATGGCCCAGAGGAGCAGGAGCAGGCTGGAGAGCAGGAGCAGCCTGAAAAAGAGATTGCGCCAACACAGCCCAGCCCCCCAACCCCAGTGGAAGGACCTGAGCCTCCTGCCCACAGCTCTGCGTCCTGGCCCGCCACCTTTGCAGGCCGGAAGCGCCCCACAGGGACAACTTTGAGAAACCTATGGGACTCGTTGCGGGAGTACTACCACACAGCCTGCCCCCTTGAGCTTCGCACAGATGGTTTTGCTCGGGAGCTGTTTACTGAGCTGAAGCTGAGAGTTAAGGACGACACCCCCAAGATGGAAATCCAAGCTCAAGCGGCTGTCATTGCTAGCTCAAAGCTAGGCAAGAAGTAGGTGTTTTTTCCAGTTGCTGAGGCATTGGTGTGGCTTTGCTAGTCACGCAGTAGGGCTTTGCTCCAGTGGTCCATGTGGTCCAGAGCCAGTTTTTGGGAGCATAGATGCTGTGGCAGCAAAAGCAGGGAGCTTTCTAGGGTTCACTTGCATGCGCGCGTCATTGCTAAGCAGAGCCCAGCCTGTGTTCCAGTGGTCCAAGTGGTCCAGGCATTTTGTGCGCCACAGGCTGCCATGCCTGCCTCAGAGGCTGATAAGGAGAGATTGCGCAGAGTGGTCACCCTCTCGTTTTTTGGCTACACCATTGACAGCATTTGCCGGGATGGGCAACTACAGGCCCTGCAGCGCGACCTTGACATTGCTGAGATCTTCAGCACCGCCAAGTCATTAGTGACATACGGAGAGCAATCTGGGCTTACAGGACGTGGTTTTGACTGGAAATCTGGGGATGCCTCAGTCACCACGCAGACAGGCTTCCTCAGTGCTTTGCGGCTGGTGATGAGATTGAAGGTTGGGGGCTTGCTGATGCTGGCCCCTGACTGCAGCAGCTTTGTGTTCGCCTGCAGCTCTTTGACTGGCCGTTCAGCTGGATGCCCCCAAGGTCGCCATGATTACTTGCCAGTGCAGCAAGGCATCTCGGCAGATGTAGTTTCTCATAGTTATCCTCCACTGAGCTTTGCCTGGCCTTAGGCAACATCATGGCCAGAATGTCCATGTTCTTCTACATTGTTGCCATAACTCGAGATGTGCAAGCCTACTGGAGCAGCCAGCTGGCTCTATGATGTTTCGATTCTTGTCAGTGACCTTGAGTGTCCTGGCTGCACATTGGCATGTCCATCTCCGTGTTGCGTTGCTGGCTGCAGCTCTACCATTGCCCCTGTTAGGCCTGGTGCAGACCCTTCAGCTTGGACACACCTTTTACACGGACCGCTGCACTTACGACACAACTGCAGAGCCCAAAATTATGAAGAAGTACAAGCTGGTTTGCACTGGCCCCTGGCTTGAGGCTGCCTGCCAGAAGTGCACCTGCACTGGCCAGCATATCCAGCTCATGGTCACGAAACACCTTGAGGATGGCCGCAGTCAAAAGACAGGTGTGAAGCCACTGATGGCAGAGTCTGGCATGTACCCTCCCAGAATGGGAGCTGCAATTGTCCAGGCCTGGCAAGGGCGCAGTGCGTGGAAGCATCCTTTGCAGGGACTTCGGCCTGGAAAGAGAGCACTCTCAGCAACGCCAGATGTATGGGGCCCATCTGCAGCGGCCAGCCAGCATGGTGACCCATGGCAGGACTGCCCTCAGCCTCCCATGCCAAAGGCGTGCAAGGCAAAGTGCCAGAAGGCGCAGCGTTTGGACTCCCTGCACGCCCATGATCCCTGGGCTGATGCTCCTGCCCCAGACGGACCCACAGATCCTGAGCAGGACCCTTGGGCCGAGTGCGAGACTTCCTTTGAAGATGACCCGTGGAAGGGGGTGGTCTAGTAGTCTAGCTCTCCAGTACTTCAGTTGGCAGAGCAGGAAAATGAGGAAGCTTTATGCGTGTGCCATTGCAGTTAGCTTGTCATGCTGCGGGATATGTTTTGGCTCCAGAGGCTGCTGAAAGGCTCCAAGGCCATTTGCACCGGCCATGGAGACTGACCCATGGGGGGACCCGTGGGCCAACTGCGACAAGCCTGCTAGGAAGAGAAAGTGGAGCCAGATGGCCCTTGTGCTTGCAGCTGAGGATGTAGATCCCTGGCAACATTGCAGTGAGCCAGCCAGGCCCCAGTCACGAAAGGTGGCCCCTGAGGCTGCTATTGTTGGCGCGATGTCAGGGCGGAACAACGAGCCAGCAAACATGTATGAGCAAAATGGAGTTTCGCCAGAGCGCATCCACAGTGTTGTTGGCAGCAAGTGTCCGCGCAGAGCGTGTGCCCGGCCAGGCTGCCAGCCCTCTGCCCTGCCATTTGAGAAGTGTGCAAAGTTCTTGCGACAATTCTGGGATCTCTTGCCACAAGAACGAAGCCACCTGCTCCGATGCGCGTACTACAGCAGTCTCGGAGATGGCTGCGCCAGTGCTCCAGTCTGTCAGCAGCAGATGGACACCAGGGCCACATGGCTCATTGCTGAGACACAGGTGTGTGTCCGGCGCTTTTGCCAAGTTATTGGCTGCAGCCAGCGCACCCTGCGCAAAATGATTGCCGGGACACCTGACATGCGCAAGTCTCGCCTTGGAAAGTGCCTGGAACCTGCCCTCCGCCCTGCAGTCCAGACCATGAAGGTTGATACCTTTTTCCGGCAACTGCACTCCTCTGCAGCAGAGCCAATGCCTGAGGAAGAGCAGGTCTTCCCAGCCATTTTCATGCAAGCAGGCGATGTGGTCAAGAAGCTGCCTGGCGCCTCCAGTGCTCCAGTGGCTTCAGTGGTCCAGTCAGGGAAGAAGAACGCAGTCACCAAGTCAAGCCTGGCATCCATAGAGCCCTGGGATGAGTGGAGCTTCGACTGGCTACAAACCCCGCCGCTAACACTGGCGGCATCAGCTCAAGTTTTGGGGCTGCCTGTTCGGCGCATCCAGCACTGCAGGCTCGCGGGTGTTTTGCAAAATAGTCCCAGACATGGCCAGTTACTTTCAGGATCCCACTGTCCCAAGAATGGGCACTGAAAACACACGCCCATTGCAGGCTTGTGGACCTGTACTGGCAGATGACAGCAGAGTGGGAGACTCTGCAGGCTGCCAGGCCAGATGTTGGCCCCCCCCCCAGCTATGACACCTTCTGCAAGAGGTACAAGAGCCACTGGAAGTTTGTGCTGCTCATGCGGAAGACCAGCCAGCATGGGCAGTGCAAGGTCTGCTTTGACCTGCACCTCCTCCTGAGGAACCCTCGAGAGGACTGGGGGGTCAAGATCCGTGCTGCCAGGGACCTTCGCGAGCACCTGCGGCAGCAGTACCTGGACCGCTCCATGTACTGGAGTCTGAGGTGGTCAAGCTGCCATGATGACTCTGTCCTGACAATCATCATTGACTCAATGGGGAAGTTTGGCACAACGTGGCCTCACTTGGGGTACGACCGCCCATCGAAAGAGACAGAAAAGCTGGTCCTGACAGCTGCTCTGGCGCATGGATGGGGGACCTTCATGTTTGCATGCTCAGAGAGTGAGCACCACGGAGCTGCGCCTTGGCAGCACCTGTGCATTGCGTGCGCGTTCATGCCACTGTTGGTTGGCGAGTCTGCGCACCCAGGACCACTACTGCGAAGTGGTCACCCGGGTGCTGGAGAAAATTTTTCACTCCAGTCGCTCTAGTGGTCGAGTGGTTCCCCAGCATCTTGTGCTGGTTGCTGACAATACCACTGCACAGGCCAAGAACCAGAACACTCTCCTTTACTTGTGCTTTCTTGTTGCCCACAAGTACTTCGCTACCATTTGCTTGTTCCACCTCATGGTTGGCCACACCCACGAAGACGTGGACCAGCTTTTTGCCATAGTGAAGGTGCGCCCCTGAGTTCACCCCACCATGCAGCGCAATTCGTTGTGGGAAAAGGCTGAGCTTGTCCCCTGACTGCAGGCCATCCTTGCAGGTGCCCCAGTCTGGCAGAGCCCCGAGCAAATGCTGGAGATCATTCAGGGCAAGCTGCAGCCACGAGTGGAGAACAAGGGCGAGGTGATGTCCTCGAGCATGGTCTCTGCAATCCACAACTACACCAGCTGGCTTCGGCCACTCAGTGTTGCCCCGCCCTCAGCTTGCTTGGAGGGCTGCTGTTGGCATCTCGCATGTCTGAGGATTTGTCAGGGGCATTCCAGACCCGTCATGGCGTGCCATCCCCACACTGCTTCATGGTCATGAATGGGAACAAGCTGCTGGCGCCTTACAAGAGCCTCATGGAGGAGCAGGTCCAAGCTGAAGGTGTTTACATTTGTGTCAAAGCTTTTGTTCGCGACACTTGCCTTCAGCAGGCGCCAGTGTTGGCCTTACCGCCTGGACGTGGTGCAAGAATCGCTGGCTCACAGCCTCGCGAGGTGCACGCAAGGAAAGAGTTAAGTGAGGACCAGATTAAGAGCTTTTTGAGACTGGCCACACTTTGCCAGAAAAAGTACAATTTGCCACAGGCAGGGGATGCACTCAAAGCAGCTGTGTACAGCCGGAGCTATGAGTGCGTGCAGTTCCAGTGGCTGGGGAGGCAGCAGGGTCGTGCAAACAGTCAAGGCCCAGTGCTGCCCAGCAGCAATGCGTATTTTCCGCACTTGCCAGACAGAACTTGGGAGCTTGTGGCACAGATTCATTAGCCTGTTTAGCTCTCCAAACCAACGCTTGCAGAGGGGCTGCGAGCCACAGCTGAACAAAGTGCTTGTAAAGCAGCCTTGCGTGCCATTGGGCCACCATCATGTGCAGAATTCACGTCAGCCTGCTCACAGCCCATTTTTTGTCTCAAGCTCCAGCTCCAGTGTTCCTGCTCCAGCTCCAGTGTTCCTGTGGTCCAGTGCCTCATGGCCACCTTGCAGGACTGGGGGCTAGGTCAGTGCGAGGTAGGTGCCTGCTCAAATGTGCCAGGACAAGCTGAATGATGTGTACGCCACGCTTTTTGACAACCTCTGCCAGACCATGGGGACTGGCAAGTGGTCAAGTGTCCACGACTGGATGAAGTCGGAGTACCCAACTGCAGAGGCGCGGGTGGAGCTCAAGGGCAAGCTGGCCACTTTGCAGCAAGAGTGCCGCAACATCCTGGGACTGCGGCCAGCTGCTGACCTCACCAATGCAGTGCCTTCCGATTTTGAAATGCCAGATGGCACTCCTCGCCGATTCAAGCTGGAGATCACACAGCTTGGCTTCTTGGAGGACAGCCAGCTGAAGGGCCCAGTGCAGTCCTATGCAGTGCAGCTAGGCTGTTATTCATGTGTAGACAGTGATTGATCTCGCCCCTTTGCGAAGCCAAGGCGGGACAACCTGCAGAAGATCATGACCTTCAAGCGAGGCAACGAGACCCACAAATTCCCCATTGAGGTGTTGTTTACTTTCCCGTGCGCTTTGAACCCGTCACCTGTGGGCGCTGGAAGTCCTGTCGGCGACTTCTCAGTTGGGGTTTCCCAAGGGGCAGCCACAGTTGCATCCTGCTACATGTTTGCAATTTTCGCTGAGAAGCTTGGCGTGCTTCGCGCTGCTGAGTCGGACCCAGATCTCCAGAAGGATCTTGCGCTGCGGCTGATGAAGTCTCTTGTTCTACACTCTACATCACATCCTCAAGGAGATGTGGACCTTCACATGCTGGAGAGCTTGGGCGAGAAGCGGGCCGCGGCCCAGCGCACACAGCCCTCGCCCTTTCAGCACTGGTTTGTATACCAGCGCATCTTGAGCAAGCGAGGGCCAGGCCGAGGGCTACTTGCCTGCAAGTGGTCCAGTGTTCAAGTGGTCCAGTGTTCCAGTAATCCAGTTGTCCAGTATCTTGTTCTGGCAGCCAGGTCGAGGGAGCAGCAGCTACGAGCACTGATTGCAGAGCAAAACAAGCTGTCAGTGCAAAAGGCTCGGCTGTCCACAGAGGAGACCTCTGCAATCCTCTTCCTTGACGCTGCAGGGGAAGAGACAAGGAAGGTGATTGCGGCGGCCCACCAGACGGAGGCGCCGCAGCATACTGCCTTTCCGCTGAACCTTCTCACGAAGGAGTTCCTGCGCGTGAGTTACCCCAACCCTGTGCCACTTGTCAGTGATTGGCAGTTTCCAATTCCATGTCAACATTTGTGTCGGCTGGCTGGCTCTGGTGTTCAAGGGGCCATCAAACACCTGAGGAAGCAGGAAGAGAATCCAACGTGGCACGCCGTCCACGCTCACTCCTGGGCCAAGGTGGCGGTGTGGGCCAAGAGGGTGGCGGGCAAGTGGGACTACAAGGTCCGTCAGGTGATCGAGGCTGGACAGATTCCTGCCATCAAATCCCAGGCTGGGGCAGCAGCCTTCAGGGACAACGGCCAGGAGCTTGAGGTCTACTGGATGGCGCAGGCCATGGCGCACTTCGACGGCTTTTTCCAGAGCTCCCTTGGTGCAGATGGCTACAAGGAGCTGATCCTCCAGTGGGATGCCGGGCTGCTCGACCAGAAGCTGATAGGTGCAGTCACTGCCAAGAGAAAAGAGTTCAAGGCGAAGGACTTTGTTTTTGTGGTCCAGGACTCCAGTGCTCCATCCCGTGATTTCCTGAACGACGCCACCTCCCAGCAGAAGTGTGAGGCTCTGCTCAAGATGCATCGTCAGCTGACTCATGAGCAGAAGGCCTGGCGCACACACCTGCAAAGGCTCAAAGCATTTGAAGACTTCGAGCTCAGCGACTGGAACACGCAAACTGCTCGGCAAGAGGAGAAGCTGGAAGAAGCCTGGTCCACGCACAGCCTGGCTTTTTACCAGGTCCACGAGGCCAGTGACATTGCGGCGGCCATGCGCCTGGTGGCCAGCCACCGCCAGCTGGTGGCAGACGCTCTCACCCCCCTCGCGCGCGCAGATGTTCCAGTGGTCTGCGAATGGAACATCCCAAAAGCTGGCGTTGATGCGTCAAAGCACATTGGCCCTGTGGTCCAACACATTGCCCTCTCGTGCAGCTCTGATCCCCAGATGACCATCCACATTGTGCCACTTGGGCCTTGTTTGGCACAGCGTTTTTCTTTGTTGATAGTTCCCATCATGCAGCTGTTGCCCATTCAGCTGTTGCACATTCACTGATTCCTGCCAGTGCGCCAGGATCCCGCCGTGCCAGCCAATGTATGGCAAAGGCGAAGCCACTGGTGATCAGCGGCTTGAGAGCATCCAGCAGCACATTGACCGCTGGCATGCCGAACTTGTGAAGCCCCAGCACAAGCTCCTGGTGCGCAAGGTCCACGCCACCTGGGATGCTGCCACCTTCTACTCGCCTGACCGTGAGCTGGGCTGGGAGGTTTGGCTTGTGCTGTCAGAGTCTGTGCGCGCACGCAACAAGACCCACGTGTACAACCACATCTTTGGCAACAGCACCCTGATGAAGAGAGGGGCCTTCCCCACATTCCTGCAGTCCATGGAGCGACGGGACTTCAAGAATTGGAGGGTTCCCCTGGGCTTTGATGGGAGTGGCAATGTGCACCGCAACCAAGCTACTGAAATGCTTCAGTGGTTCAGTGGTTCAGTGCTGCACAGCTGCATCATTGAGGCTCTGGCTGCCAATTCCATCCTCACAGATCAGAGCCGCGTGCAGGTGGCTGACTGCTTCATGCTAGACGACCAGCCTGTCGCCAGCTGCATCAGCCTGAATTGCCAGGAGAAGGCGGGCGTCCCCAGAGTGGCCTACATTGGGGTGGCCTGGTGGCACGAGAAGAAGCTGACCAGGCAGGCTGTCTCAACAACATAAGGTTCTGTGTCTTTTCCAAGCCACTACTTCTCCCCAAAGCCCTGTGAGGGAAGTGGTCCAGGAGAATGTGGCGTCCAGCGCCTGTGCCATGCTCAAGCAAAGGCTGCGGCAGAAGACCTACCGTGTGGACACTGGAGTTGCCATCCCAGACGTGCAGGACAAAGCGGGCAGCAAGCCAGGAGCTCGCCCAGAGCACGATCCAAAGGACTTCGAGCTGACCTTTCCACGTGCCAACCTGGAGCTGCCGCTGAAAGTCCCAACCATCCGCCAGGCCGAGGCACTGGGGAATGCCAGCGTTCCGGATCCAGCTAGCCCCCAGGATGCCACATTGACATGGGCACGCATGCGGCAGCTACATGACAATGAGTTTTGTCCCAGTGGATTTGCCTATGATCCAGACACACCCAACAAGCGCAAGGCTGACCCTCAGACGGAAGGTGCCCGCCCAGCTGTCAAGCTGACACCTGTCACAGCGCCAGATGGGCTGCTGCAGACTGGGGTGGCCTCCAGCGAGTGGCAGGTGCTGCTCCATCCAAATGGCGAGCTGTTCCTCAAGGCCCTCAAGGATGGATCCACGTCCAGCTCCGAGACCTTGTTCTGGGTCAAGGGCAGCTTCAAGGTTGGGGCAGTTGCCAAGAGGAGAAGCAAGCTGCAGGGTCCCAGCATGTGCCAGCCGAGCTTTCAGAAAGCTCTCGAGTCACACTGGCCCTTGAGCCACCCCAGCCGGACAAAGAAATCCCGAAGTTCCCCATCACAGTGGACGCTGCCCTGACCTGCCTGGCTGGTCACCGCCTTGCAGTCTCCCAGATCTTCAAGCACAAGCATGTGGACCAGGCGCAGGGCACGCAGAAGTACAAGGTCACACCCCTGGAGGACATCGTTTTAGTGCCAGACACAAAGCCTCTTACTGGACTGAAGGGAGTGGTGGCCACTGACATGCTGTCCACCTACGCCAACCTCTCCAAGCTCCAGAACCTTGAGGTCATCAACACACTGAAGTACAATGTGAGCACCAAGGGCTTGAAGCAAGGGCTGCCAGCTGTGCACTTCACCAGCTGCTTCCAGCTGAAGGAAGGCGAGACGTACAAGCTCTGAGTGCTTCAGTAGCCTAGTTCTCCAGTGGTGCTGGGCAGTTTTGATGGCAGCGGCAGCACCAAAACCCAAGGCAGTGCAACAAAAGGCTCAAAAGAGGGCACATGCACATGCGCAGGCAAACTTGTTGCGGAGGAGCATGCAGCTTGACTCTGAGCCGTTGAAGTGCTACGCAGCCATTTTCTCCTCAGCTAGTGCTCTAGGCGTCTCTGACAGCTCATTCCAGCTCTGGGAGCACATCAAAGTCAATTGTCATCCAGGGCACCCTCTCTGCGAGGGAGCAAGATATTGCTGCCAAGGTTGAGCGCTCCCTCCAGAAGCAAGATGAGTCCGAGAGTTTGCTGCAGAGCCAGGCCACTGGTCAGGAGACAGCACCAAAATCCTCGAAGCGCTTGAAGCGACCAGCGCCTGTCATGAAGCGACCAGCTGGCAGTATGAAGCGGCCAGCCGCCATTGTGAAGTGACCAGCAGCTGCGTGGCAAAAGTGCGAGCTCAGTTGACACATAGCTAGCGTGCAAAGCCTTGAGCCCCCACTATATGGCTCCCTGGGATTGGAGCTCCTTGTCTTTCTGAGGCCCGAGCCATCATTTGGAGGGAAGGACGTGGAGGCGCGGCTCCTTTGGGGACAGTGCGCAGGGAGAGGGCTGCTGGAGCAGAGGGCATGCGTTGCAAGCTGACACTTGCAAAAGTCCCTTTTCAAGCGCAGTGCCATTGACGGAGGCCCGGCTGTAAAACAATGGAAAAAACACAGAGCTAGAGCTACTAGCCACTCAGCTGCAGACACGCAACCACTAGAGCCACTAGAGTCACTGGAGCACTCAGTTCTTGATCTTCTTGATGTCTCCACACAGGCGCCTCACTGTCTCAGGCGCCATAGCTGGGGTCCAGCCAAGCACCTTGGACACCTTTTCGGCCAGTGGCCTCCATCCGAAGGCGCCCTTGTCCCGCTGGGCCTTGAGCACTTTGATCTGGTTCAGCTTGGAGCTTGTCACCTTGCAGCGCTCAAGAATTGATTTTGCTCCATTGACCTTGACGGCCCCCTTCTGTGTTTTCCTTTTGCTTGTCTTCGCTTTTTCCATGAGGCCTTGCTTCAGGTGATAGACCACCAGGTCGCGATTAAATTCCTGCGCCGCGCAGTGTATCTTGCGTAGGAAGGACTGCGCTGGAGTGGGGTCGTGAGTGAAGAGGTGTGGAACATCCTGGCAGACCAGCTCGACATTGTTCTTTTTGCTGACTGCGTAGGCTTGCTCGGCCACCAGTTGTGAGCGTGCAAGTGCGCGAGCGCTTTCCAGGAACACTTTCACCTTGGTGGTTCCATCCTGGCTTGAAAGCTTGGGGTGTGTCCTCTCCAACAAGCCCCGGAGCTCCTTGCGCTGCTCGTATGGCAGGCTTCCACTGATGATCTCGGACACCTTGAGCTTCACATCTGCGGCTTCCTTTTTCGCAGCGGCCCCAGCAGCAGTGGATTGACGCTTCACTGAGCCAGTCACTTTCTTTCCATCACTGCTTGTTCGAGTGTACACCACCCCAACTGTTTTGGGCATGCCAGCTGACCACTGGACCACTGGATCACTGGGAGAAACTTGATTGCTACTTCTGTACAGAGCTGAAAGAGGAGCCAAGACAGGGGGTGCAAGTGCCAAGCTGCTGTTGCAAGCGCCAAGCTGCTGTTGCGTTGCAAGTGCCAAGCTGCTGTCTTGCATACCAAAGTTTTTAAGACACCCCCGTCATTATGAGACACCCAGTTGTTTCTGAGACACATGGGCACGCATCATGTCAGTCCTTCTTCTTAGTGACATCCACGATGCAATGCGGGTACCTTCGCGTGTCAGTGTATTGGGAAGTTGCGTGAAGGCAATTGAGGCAAAACCAAAAGTTTGCCTCACTTGCTTTTCCGCAAGTTCCCCAACAAGACCTGACTGCACATTTGAGATGCATCAGCACACCAGGAGCATCCTGCACTGAGGCGCACAGTGAAGCAGTTGAGAACGCGCGGCTGGGAACAGTTGGGAAATCACTGAGAACTAGCTGGTAAAGAGTTGATAAAGAGTTGAGAACAGTTAAGAAAGAGCCAATGTGACAGGGAAAGAGTTGAGAAACAGCTGACTACACTGTGAAAAAGTAGCTGGTAACCCTGTTGAGAACTAGTTGGGAAGACTGGGAAAGAGTTGAGAAGTGGCTGGGAAGCAGCTGGAAACACTGCTGAGAAAGAGCTGGGAACAATCCACAATGTATTGAGAGCCTGTCGCTGACACAGTTGAGAAGCCGTTGAGAAACAGTTGAGACACATTTGCGAAACAGTTGAGAAACAGTTGAGAAACAGTTGAAACAGTTGAAAAACAGTTGAGAAACAGTTGAGAAACAGTTGAGAAACAGTTGAGAAACAGTTGAGAAACAGTTGAGAAACAGTTGAGAAAAAGCTGATAAATAGTTGAGAAACAGCTGATGTCACGACATAATTGAGAGCAAGTTGAGACACACTTCGGCAGTGCTGAGAACTGATAATAGGGAAGTAGATGAGAGCATAGTTGAGAGCAAGCCGAGAGGCAGTTTGGACAATTTGGCAATGATAGGGAAGCAGCCGCAGTTGGGGGAAAGCCCCAAACACAGCAAAATGGGCAACAGCTTAGAAGCAGCAAAAGAGCAGCTAAAGCACATGTGCCTTGCATGTATGCGTGTCATCACATGGCAGGGGTGGTGTGTGAGAAGGCAACTGAAATGAGAACTCTCAGTTCAGTTGCTTTCTCACTGCACCACCCCTGCGTATGCACCTAAATGCACATGGCCCTGCTGAGGACACACTTGGCTCCAGGCATAGTGGCCCAGTTGAGGCTATGCTCCTGGCTGGTCGCTGAGCCTCAGCCACGCAGTTGCTAGAGAGCAAAGAGTTGAGAAGCAGCTGGCAGCACAGTTGGGAAGGATCCCAGAACAGTTGAGAAACAGTTGGGAAGATGTTGGCATCGCAATTAAGAAAAAGAGCTGGGTCATTGAGAGCCAGTCAGTTGTCAACTCAGCTATCAACTGCTTCCCAGCTGCTTCCCAACTTGTTCTCAACTATTTCTCAACTGTATGTCAACATGTTCTCAACTGTTTCTCAACAGCTCTCAACTGTTTATCCAATCTTACCAACCACTAGCAGCCACAGCTGCTTGGCAGCTGTCTCTCAACTTTTTCCAACTCTTTCTCAACTCCTTCTAAAAGTTGATACTGAATTGAGAACCAGCTGACACAGTTGAGAAGCTGCTGAGAACCAGCTGTGAGGCAGTTGAGAAACAGTTGAGAAACAGTTGAGAAACAGCTGTTTATCGGTGAGGACACTCTTGGCTCCAGGCGCAGTGGCCCAGTTGAGGCTAGGCTCCTGGCTGGTCACTGAACATCAGCCGCGCAGTTGCTAAAGAGAAAGAGTAGAAGCAGCTGACAGTGTGAGAACCAGTTGGCAACATGGCTGAGAAATAGTAGGGAAACAGTTGGCAACTTTTAAAGGGAGTTGAGAACAGTTGGGAAGGACACAAGAAAGAGTTGAGAAACATTTTAGCATCAGGTGATAACACAACAGAGAAATAGTTGAGAAGAGTTGAGAAGCAGTTGAGAAGCAAGTGGGAATCAGTTGGTAAGACTGTTGAGAAAGAGCTGAGAGCAGTTGAGAATAGAGGAAATTGAGGACCAAAGGGCAACACGGTTGAGAAACAGCTGATAGCACGGTTGGGAACTTGGGAAAAGTTGAGGACACTGCTGACAGCAAGTTGAGAAACAGTTGAAACAGATTGCAAACTGATGGTGAAATATTTGAGAGCCTAATTGACATAGCCAAGAACAAGTTGAGAAGCAGCTGGCAAAAGATTGGAGATGCAGCTAGGCCACAGTTGGGGGAAAGCTCCAAACACAACAAAATGGGCAACAGCTTAGAAACAGCAGAAGAGCTGCTAAAGCACATGTGCCTTGATGTATGCGTGTCATCACATGGCAGGGGTGGTGTGTGAGAAGGCAACTGAAGTGAGAGCACTCTCATTTCAGTTGCTTTCTCACTGCACCACCCCTGATATGCACCTAAATGCACATGGCCCGGCTGAGGATGGTCTCTGAACGTCAGCCACTTGTTGCGCATTGCACTGCAGACCTTCGAGTCATTATTCTCAAATATGTCAAATGCTGATAGAGTTAGCGTTGTCACTCAGCACCCTCACACACTCCAAGGTCAAACAACTGAGCTGGGCAGCGGGCTCGCGAAGCTCTTGCAGGCCTGGGCAGCATGGAAGCATGTTGAGGCATCATGCAGAGGTTGCTACATGGTGTGAGCTGTGCATGTAGCAGAAAGCCGCACTTGCCGCAGTTGTTTGCCAGCAGAGAGCTCACACACTCATGTCTCATCTCACTCTTGTTGCATTCTTCTCACATGTGGTCATGTGGTCATGTGGTCATGTGGTCCAGTGCGTATGCTCTCTCTGTGCTGCTGGCCATGCCCGTCCGACTTTTGCCGGGGCGAATTTCTTTGGAGTGCCTGGAAGAGTACTACCAGCTCAAGGTGGA